AAATAAAGCCAACAATGACAAGGTAATAAATCAGTTTTGACATAACTTGAATACTAAAAAAAGCCAAACAAAGGTGTGCACAACAGTGACAACATAACTTAACAATTTCATTATTTTGTAGGATTAAAGAAAGGTTAAAGAAAATCATGTCGAACTGAACAACAAGAATCCCCAAACAACTCCAAAGAAACCTACAAGGAAGACACCGGTATTATATTTAAATTATCTCTATCTTTAAATAGAATAAAAGAAAGTTGCTATCCAGGTCTGTAGCATGTGCTACAAATTATATTATTAACACATTTATATAATTATATTAATATAAATGTGTTAAAAAATTTATAATATGAATTATAAAAAATTTTAAGTTTTGCATGGACAGAGCTTAAATTAATATTCTCTTATTTGTTGCAGAAAGCAAGTAGTTTTGGAGAAGCCTCGTAGATGCACAACCAAGTAATGATTAATTTAAAATTACAAACCGAAATTCTGATGAAGACATTAGAGTCACTTAAAAATAAATAGTATAATGAAATAAAAATGTTTTAAAGATAAATAGTGTTTTATTTGTTTAATGTAAGAGAATAATAATAAATATTTATTTAATTAATTTTTCAAATGTAAACTGAACTTTATTGACTTTAATGACTCCTTTTCCAGTCTTTGATTATTTAATTGTAATTAATTATTTGCATGCAATCAAAAACTATTTTTAATAATGCCAAAGAAGTATAACTTCTTACGCGCGTACATAAGTACACGCACCCTTTTTTTTATATTAATTAAAACGATTTAACAAAAAGACAATTTAACTACAATTTGGTGATCTCTTATTGTTAAACAAATTTCCCCGAAAGCTTTAGATATAGTATATTAAAATTTATACATATAACATTAGCGTTCAACATTAAAATTACATATTTAAATACGAAAAGGGAAAACGATATATATCCAACTCTCTCTTGTATTTATTGTGTAAGTTTTCATAAGTTTAAATTTAAGGGAATGGTCCACAATATCAAAATACTTCGTCTATATTATAAGAAATTCCCTGTTAATACAAATTACATAATTCCCTTGCCAACAACTAAAATAGCTAAATGAAACACAAATGTAGGGTGTGTAAAATGTTACAGCACGCAACTGTCGTGTATAATCAAGGTGCTAATTAATATTGTATTCTGTCATGTTTCTAGAGTTTTCTATAAACATTACATAACAAAAATCATCATCATACAAGGGCCACGAAAACCTTGCGTAGGCGAAAATTTACAGTTATCAAACAAGGCCTTATAACATTTTAAAATTAAAATAACTGGAGAACGGCTGGACCGATCTTCATGTTTTTTTAATTGTTGTATTGGTCTCCGTATAACAGAATCATAACTACAAAAAAAATGTCCAATAGAATATGGGTTTCCTAACTGTCAAAGATGTTATGTTCATCTCGTCAATACGCTAATTAAGCTAGTTGGCTGCGACATATCGACAATATTTGGATAATAGCATATCAGGTTGTCAAATAGTTATGTGTAAGAATAAAATATAAAGCTACTTAAATATACAACAATTTTATTTATTTTTGTGTTATTATCCTAATGAACCTAATATTTATTTTTTATTCATTATATTACTTTCATAAGATCTTACATTAAGTTTAGCTAATCTGTAACACGACATTCATTGACTGTTAGGCACGAAGTTCGCCAGGCAAAATTTAAAAAGGCACCACAGGCAGCACCTGACTTACTGTCCATTTTGCATTTATAACAATTTCAATACGGGTCACGCTAATTAATAATAGATAGGATATTGATTATTGTACCAATTAGTAGGTATTAAAAATTCAGTAACCAAACTGAATCCTTTCACTTGCTTAGACGTACGCGACATTAGAATTACAAATTTGAAAATCAATAAAGAACAAAGGAATTACACCTATAGTTTCCTTTATAGCGCCTTCCTGTGGGAAGGCGTATCCTTCCGTGATAATACAACATTTAGCCTTCAACAACGAAGTTTGGTTCAGGAATAAACAATAAAGCGAAACTAGGTTAAATGACTTTGTATTGGGTTACGTACACATCCATTCATCGCGGTTAAAGCTTTTATTGGCATTAATTCTGTAATATTTTAAAGTTTTAAAATACATATTATCGAAGAGCACAGCTGCTTTAATAGCGTTATATTGATTTAAATTATGAAGCGCAAATTAGGTTAAGAACTATTTATTACATTTTCAGTTGCAATGTTGTCTTTTAAAGCGTACAGACGCTTTCATCGATTTTTTTTTATAGAACGGGGGCAAACGGGCAAGAGGCTCACCTGATGTTAAGTAATACCGCCGCCCATGGACACTCTCAATGCCAGAGGGCTCGCGAGTGCGTTGCCGGCCTTTTAAGAATTGGTAAAAATAGTGTTACAAAAATGTTGTGAATACATTCTATTGCTTGCTTAATTTTGCTTTAATCTTACCTCATTGTATCTACAATATCTTATAATCCGAAATTCTAAAGTTATAGCTATACATGCAATGAAGTCATAGTTAATTATGTTAATTAAAAATGAAATGCTTTCATTCAATCGAAACTAGCAATCGAAGCTAATGACAAAATAAAAGAGATTTATTATAATCAGTCTGCTCGCTTTATTTTCGGCATCATAAATTTGTCTGGCTTATAGGTCAACGTAATACAGTGAGTCGATTGTAATCCCTTAAATAAAATGGAAATAATATGAAGATAATATAAAAATTTTGTTAAGCGAATAAGTATTAAAAAAAAACTAGTATGACCTAAAATTTGAAGTGTTTGTTTATTAGTTTTTGTATTTTTTTTTAATAGATACATTGTAATAGAAGATGCATTATAAATGTGACGTAATTTTATAAACAAATGAAAGCCGCTACGAATTAATGATTATTATGTATGGTAATACTTTCATATAATACATAATATACTCGTACACTAATAGTGTATATAAAGCACGAGATAAAATTGTTAAGAGAGAGATATATTAGGTCCTTACATATGAAATTGGCGTTTTGTATGGGAGGAACAAAAAGTCGAATATTTTTAAATATAATATATTTAATTAATCAAAGTATGAACCATTGTTTTCTATGCACTTTTGCCATCTCATAGGTAGTTCATTGATCCCTTTACTAAAAACCAGTCGGACGGGAATCAATACAATCTGTGAAGGCGATTTGGACTGCCCCATCAGAGTTAAATTTTTTCCCTTGCAAGAAGTTGTCCAAATTTTGAAAAAAATGGTAATCTGTTGGAGCAAGTCCGGGGAGTACGGAGGATGTCTTAGACATTACAATTGAAGCTCTTCTGATTTGGTAGCCGTCTGTTGTGCAGTGTGTGGTCTAGCGTTGTCGTGAAGTAGCAGTGGCGTGGAGCGATTGACCAGCCTAGGTTGTTTAGCCGCTAGCTTTTCTATCATGGTTTGCAATTGCTGACAATAGACATCAGCCGTAATAGTCTAACCAGATTTGAGAAAACTGCAATGAACAATACCGGCACTAGTCCACCAAACGTTTACAAGCAACTTTTTTGGGGTTAATTTTCGCTTGGGGCAGGATTTGGCTGGCTGGCCAGGATCCAACCATTGCGCTGAGCGCTTTCGATTATCGTAAAGAATCCATTTTTCATCACAGGTTATGATTCGGTTTAAAATACCTTCATTATTGTGCCGGTTCAGTAATGTAACGCAGCAGTCGACACGCGTTTGCCGGTTTGCTTCAGTCAATTCGTGAGGTACCCATCTTTCAAGCTTTTTAATCTTCCCAATTTGCTTCAAGTGAATTTAAACAGTTTTATCACTAACACCGCAGCCTGCAGCTAACTCGGACGTGGTTTGCGATGGATCCGCTTCCACAATAGCCTTCAATACTTCATAATCAACTTGGGTCTCAGGCCGTCCACGGGGCTTGTTCTACAGGTCGAAATTTCCAGAACGAAAACGTTGGAACCAAAAACGAACTGTGTTTTCTTTTGCAACATGACCGCCTTACACATCATTCACCCTTCGAGTCGTTTCCGCAGCACTAGTGCCACGGCGGAACTCGTACTCGTAAATAATGCGATACTTTAAGTTTTCCATTTTGTAAAATTAGTGACGCAAACAGAAAAAAACAGAAGAAAAAAACAAATTAATGACGGTCATCGAAGCACTGCAAGCATCGTAAATAGCTGTACAAATTTGAATTTGGAATTCCTTACCAAAGAGGAGAACATCGTGATTAAAGTGGCCAGTACGAAATACGCCAATTTCATATGTAAGGACCTAATATATAAAAGGGGAAAAATGTTTTGTCGACATTTCTTGAAAAAATTCTGGCCCCAAGGTTCTTGACAAAAATAATTATTAAAATCAAATTCCGTCATTAATGAAGTCGTATTCAAAGCTTTCACGAAAATCATTTCAGTTTCTCCACACAATTTCAGCCAGTATCCGTGCTTTGAACATTTTAATTCGTTTCAAGGGCGTTCGTAATCGGTCGTAAATACAGAATCGTCGATTAGGCTCATCGATGCTTTTATCTGACAGTTAGTTTATTTAGATAGAAAATATTTTGTATACAGCAACGAAATTACGATTCTATTTAACGAGAAAAATATGTTTTTAAAGAGTATAAAATGTCGGTTTGTTTTTGTTAGCCGAGGCTATATTTTCATTTAAGAAATATATTCTTATAGCAGTGTTTTCCTAGTGGCTTCAGCATGCGACTCTTATCCCTTAGGTCGTGGGTTCGATCCCCGGCTGTGCATCAATGGAATTACATTCTATGTGCGCATTTAAAATGCCCTCAAACGGTGAAGGAAACCATCGTGAGGAAACCGGCTTGCCTTAGACCCAAAAACTCGACGGCGTGTGTCAGAGGAGGCTGATCAACTTCTATTAGATTGACAAATGATCTTAAAACAGATATAGAAAGCTAAAGCCCAGACCTAAAAAGGTTATTATTACTTTTTATTTCAATAAAGACTTACTTGTCGGCCGGAACTTGGACACGTCGGTGCCACATTTCTCCCTGTTGTAGAGCAGTTTCTTGCAGACACGCCATGGTCCGAAGTAACCGTTGTCGAAGTTTGGATTCTCCACTGCAAAGAAAAGAAAACTAAATTGTAACATACACTAATGCGTGTTTAATAAAATTATTCGTGTCTGAGCACATGATGGCGGTTTTATATCACGATTCGATCAATGCCAATGTAAGTCACAAAGATCTTGTAAATGAGATTATAATCCAATTATTTAGACGCACTTGGACTATTGAAACAGCTAAGTTTGTAAGTATTGATAATTAATGTATGATGTTTTTATAGTAACACATGATTTAAACACACAATATTAAAACATGTACTTTTTTAAGGTAAAGGTTTAAAAAGGCAAATACATATTATATTTCGATTTATGAGTCAAACTTCGCGAAGATTCTCCTTTCAGAATCTCACGATATGAGAACTGTATAATACTATATTCGACACAAGGTGTTCATTTGTTTTTTCACAAAAAATTGGATGTAGATTAGACCAACTGTTATATCATAAAAAAATTAAAACGGATACACTTGAACCCGTATAACTGTAGCAGCTGGTTTCTTTATCTGTGAGATGGCAATGCTACAGAAACAAATGTCTGTCAAACATTGATAACGCATTGAAATTATTTACTTCGCAACCGCGTTAAAGTATGTTTAGCTTGTAACATGTTTTTAAATGCATCGATCAAAAAAATTGTTTGAAATGCATTCTCCACGCACGAAGCTTGCAATAAAATTTCATCAAATATTCGTATACGTAAATTTCAGTTTTTGATAGTGACATGTTACGTTCCGTACTATTTGTATAGTAAGCGAATTCTATTCGCATACTATACATCATGCTTCCGTTTACGTCTAGAAATAGAAATATAGTACAATTGACATAATTAAATGAAAAGGCGGGCAAGTGGAGGCCTTATCGCTTTCGAGCGATCTCTTCCAGGCAACCAATGAGAGAATAAAAACAATTAATTTAGATAAGGTAAGCAAGAAGTGCAAAATACATAATACATATTGTTATTTAGACAAAATTAAAGTAGGAACCAAAAACTAAACTAAAAGAGGACACATGAAAAAGATAAAGTGCACATGAATCACGATAATTTTAGATTAGTTTCACATCAGATGTGAATAGCTAATATTTGTACATACATCTACATCAAGGTAGATAGAGAAGGAGCTATTTGTTGGTTGGGCGTCTGAAGACTGATGTACCCAAATGATTCTTGACAGATGACTAAGAAAATTATGTGTCCACTCCATTGCTATACAAAATTACAATGCAATAATTACTGTAAAATTATTGCATGCAATCAATGACTCAGCTATGCTAATAACTAGAAATTATTATTGAGGATAATTGGTTAATTATCACGAATGTCTATTACCTATCTAAATTACTTATTTCACTGACGCAATTTGAAAAATTATAATTAAATAAATATTTCTATTTAACTTTCCTCACCGGACGTCGAGGCAGAATACAGAATACGAATTCCACCTGCATTACCTCGATGTCCGTCATTCCGTGGAACCAGCTGACGCCTGAAGTATTCCGAAACAATTCGACTAAGGGAGAAGAAGAGAAAAAGAGCGTAGCAATGAATTTAGGTCGAAGTCGAACATGATCACTCAGAAGCTGAATCAGTAACAATTTTTAACAAAAACTTCAATGGTAGAATATTATAATTCTAATCAATTCTCATAGGAAAAAAATTTAACATTCATATACGGAAAATAAATTTATTAAATAGGCTAAGTTCATATTCGTTGGGAATAAGCTACCTTCACTTTATTTGCCAAGAAAACGTCAAAAATTTTCTTTATTTATGTAAATTTATAAATCACTATTTTTTTTAAATCGACCCCTTCAAAAACTCCCTGGACATCTTGATAAAAATGTCCTCCTAAATTTTGTGGGGAAAACCCCCAAGATCAGTGTTGGCCTAGTGGCTTCAGCGTGCGACTCTCATACTCAGGTATGTAGTAGTAGTAGGTTCGATCCCCGGCTGTGCACCAATGGACTTTCTTTCTATGTGCGCATTTAACATTTGCTCGAACGGTGAAGGAAAACATCGTGAGGAAACCGACATATTTTAGACCGAAAAAGTCGACGGCGTGTGTCAGGCACTGGAGGCTGGTCACCGACTTGCCTATTAGATTTAAAAATGATCATGAAACAGATTCAGAAATCTGAGGCCAAGACCTAAAGAGGTTGTAGCGCCACTGATGTATTTTAAACCCCCAAGTAGGCATCACTAGCCTTAGCGGAGCTATCAAAATGACGGAGAAACTAACTAGTTACAACACATGCACTGCAAATTACCATCGGCACGTTAAGGGACCACATTTGCACCTAATTAACTCCTGACTCACGTGTCAATTGTCCGACCTTGTGCACTTCATTCGCTTTAGCTTTCTTACTCATATCGTTTTTAATTGCCCTATTGTTTGTGATACCTATTCAGGGCTTTAATCTCGATTATGAAAAGATTGTTCAAGCTGAATAGGAATAGCCATCAGTGTTTTCATTACTAGAAAGTTCTACGATGATCTAAGTTTTATTCACTAATATGAGATTTTATGAGACAACAGTTTAATGAAGAAAGAAACGCGCTTGTATAGACCAATTTCCAGCAACTTTAAGTTTTTTGGAAATTTTAAACTAATCATCCATGTAAGAACTTTGCAGATGTACTGATTTTGTTTTTACTATTTGATTTGTTCGCTTCAAACACGTACAAAGTTATTACTGAAATATACATACAAATAAAATATCGAGTGATCACCGAGGATGTATCAGTCATTAATATTTAACTAGCAAACATATTAACATAGAAGTATGTCAATGGAGTTGCAATGGACTACGCAGTAATGATTCATAAAAATCCCAATCAATAATTGCATTCAGAGCACGATAAACAAGAATTGACTTGATTCAAAAGGTTAATTTAAGACAAACAAAAAAATTTAATACTAGTGCAAATTGGTAAGAAAAACATAGGAGTAAAGTTATTAGTTAATGTATTTTATTTTATTGTTGATATTTTTTTAAACTAAAAAACAAAACATTATCATTATACTTCAAATACTCGTAGGTGACTGTAATATAACTTCGTTAATAAATCTATACTTTAAAATATGGAGGTGTTTTAAACTATCGATAATGACTTATCTTTATAATATTAGTGCAAATTTGTGAGTAAATCAAGGGAATAAAGTTATCTCTCTTATTTAAAACCCAAAAACGAATCATTTTTAACTTACTTCAAATAAGTGACTGAAATATAACTTCGTTAATTTTTCTATAGTTTAAATCGAGGAGGCGCTATATCCTATCGTTTATGCTTATTTTTAAAATACTAGTACAAATTTGTGAGGAAATCAAGGGAATAAAGTTATCTCTCTTATTTAAAACCCAAAAACTAATAATTTTTAACTTACTTCAAGTAAGTGACTGTAATATAACTACCTTATCAATCTATACTTTAAATCGAGGTATTTTAGAGTTTTTTAATCTCATTTAAAATAAGTGACGTTAATATAACAACGTCAATAAATAAATCTCGATAAAAGCAACAAATTTCATTTAATATCCAATCACGATTCAAAATTATTGATTGACGTAATCTTACGCAGTGACAATGAATGGATCGAAATGACGCAGTTATGCCAACTTACTCCTACAGAATGTGGCCCCTAGAACAAACATCAAATACCCCTAAATATCGATTAAAACCCCTAAAGTGTCTGTTGTACACTCAGTTTGAGGGGTAATCTAAATATTAAAATACATTCAAGTAACATAAAATTTCGATCTTGCAATATTATAGATTAACATTTCAGTTATACCCACGCTTGGAGTTTATATTTGGTTTAGTTTGTTGATTGGGTTCTTGGCTTAATATAAATTGTATAGAATCGTGTTATTATGAGAAAAAAATCTTGTATAAAGTACCCCCTAAATCATCATTTCTCAACTATTTTTACGTCGCGACCCATGAAAAAGCCAAAAAGTTAAGTAAAAGAGTCTCGCGACCCCGTCACTGAGAAATTATAATAGTATTAGCTGACCCTGCAAACGTTTGTTTTGCCATATATGTATTATTTCTAGGAAACATTTTTTTAGTTCAATAAAAATAACTATCTATAATAAAAATAGAATTCGTTGTAGAGGGGTGAAAAATAGGGGTTGTATGTATTTTTGTATGGTATATCGTAAAAAAAAAAAACTAAAAAGAAAAAAAAATTGGGGTGGACACTGGTTTGAAATATAGGTAGTAGGCTGATTCTTAGACTTACTGAATATGAATAAAAAAATTCATAAGAATTGGTCGAGCCGTTATTTTATATATATATAGAGATGTACATAGCGCGCTATTTACAACAAATCTTTTGTACATATATATTTAGTTTATATTTATTATTTTTCAACATACTGCGACCCCCTTTTAAAAGAAACTCGACCCCCCGCTTGACAAACGATTCCCTAAAATCCTCCCAGATCATCTTGTTTCCTCTAAATTTGGGGGAAAACCCGCAAGTTGGCATCACTGAAATTACGTTCGTGACGGCGCAGACTTGCAACCATTGGTTCATTACAGAACAATAACTCGTAAAGTGCAAGACGATAATTTTAACGATTTACAAAGCCCCCGTAAACCGATAGCCTACTTTTTAAAGAAATAGCATTATGAAACTAAACGTCAGACCGCACAATTAATTTTCACCAAGCAATATAGCGGCAATCAATTTTATTACGCACCCGTAGTGTATCAAAATTATATTTTAAATTGTGTACTATAAACTTGATTTAATCAAGTTTGTTTAAATTTGCTATTTGCTGTCATTAGTTTCTCTTAGAATCCCTCCACCGTATGCGACAAGATACACACAATTGTTCCATGTGCCTCGTACGAACTCGAATTACCTGCATAATTCGTCAATGTTTCGTTGTTGTTGGTTTTATCTAACTATAACACTAATTATAAGGATATTGATATTTTCCACCTCACCAAAAAGGATGTGAGGAAACATTTGAATAGGCGGGAAGACTTTGATTTTGTTTAAGCAGTAACACTCTAGTTTTTTTTTCTTTGAATCGTTTATCGTTTGCTTAATGTTAAATTTTAGTTTCTTTAATATTTTTTTTATAAATTGTACTTATGTTTTCTGTTTCATCTATGTATATTGTTTATCGGCGTAATCTGTTTTGGCTTTCTATATTGTCTAAGGGTTTTCTTTTATAATATGTATGTTAGCTGTAAGATTAGTAATAAATAAATAAATTCAACAGGGTACACAGTATCCACTACTAAACTCTTAGAAAATGTAAATTTAGAAGTATTTTTAGACGTTCATATGATACTTACAAAAAGGTTTAATTGGCCTATTGTTAGTGATACGCTTTATATTTATATTCAGCGCTTTAATCTCGATTATGAAAAGATTGTTCAAGCTGAATAGGAAATCTAGCCATTATAGTGTTTCCTTTACTAGAATACTACGATGATCGAAGTTTTATTAACCTGTTATGAGATACAACAGTTAAATGCATAATAACGCAGTTTAGTTTTAATATAATATGCAAAAATACGCGCATAGTAATTTTCGACATTTTGAACTATTCAGCCTACTAAGAAGGCCTCAAAAAGCTATAACATTTTTGTCGTTTTCATTTTATTTCTTAAAGTAAATAAACGTGGTTTAAATTTTTTGACTTTTTGATTTGTTTGCTTCATACATGTACGGATTTATTCCTGAAATATACATACGAATAGAAGATCGAGCGAGCACCGAGGTTCTAGATGAATCATTCATTAATATTTAACTAGCGAAGATATTAATATAAATTGAGATTTAATTAATATAAATCTATGTCAATGGTAATAACTATTAAACTGGTAGGAATTTTAAATTTAGAAGCATTTTTTCAGACGTTCAAATGATATTTATCAAAAGGTTTTATTAACCTTTCCTCTTTTGAAGTTATACGTCTTTTGGCGCGTTATGGAAAAATTACGAGAGAATTTTTCTATTAGTTAGTTTTTTCTACAAACATAGAATTTTTTTTTTTAAGATTTTTATCTTGTTACGCCAAATAAGTATAACTTCTAACGCGTATACAGTACACACACTTTTTTTATCTACTTATAATTATGGGCCAAACAATTAAAGGTACATACATTAATAAGATTCAACAAAATATTTGCACACATGTAAAATAAGGCCATATAGGGTTTATAACATATGTAAATATTATATTTATATACTTATTCGGTGATTTTTCACGCATCACGACATACGTCACGACTCACGATCGCAAACAATTAATAATATGACCCGGCGCTTCATTTGACATTGATACGTTCGTCTTTTTGTCCCATGAATAATAAACTAAACAAAAGCTTACAACAACATCAATCCTAAGACGTACGAGGTCGTTGGCTGTCAGAGTGGCATCGTCATGCTGCGATACGCACCAAGGCAGAACCGCATTATGGGGATCTTAATATGTAATTAATTTTACATGCATTGAGTAATCATGGAAGCGATAACCGGAGAGTACTCATTTACTAATTGATTATTTACAAATGTGTTCCAAATTTAAATTTCGAAGCTAATTCTATGCTATTCGAAGTAAAAGGGAGAACGGAACTAACATTACAATTGGTCAACCTCACATACACGCGCGACACTAAGGCCTCGATATCTAACTCGATACGATACCAGGATACCTCGTATCGTGGTGCACCAACCAGTGGCGGTATAACCACACCTGATCCAGCTACGGATTAGTAGTGGCTTTAGCGACCTTGGGAGGAAATATTCCCTTAAATGTCTGGGGCAGAAGGCAACGCTCAATATTATTCCCTAGTAGTCAGTAATCACGAAAAAGTCTAATAAAAGACACGCTTCACGAGACTGTAATGGAGACATTCATCAGAAGAAGAGGAATCATCGAAGCACATTTTTATAGTAATAAATCTTATTAACCAACTCTGTCTTAACCGCGAATGTACAGTACCAAAACAACAGTTACACTATTGTTAAATATTATCAAACAAATCATAAACTTGTCGCTTGGACGGTTGTATTGAGAATCAAAACTTCCGTTATCAAGTTCAATATTCCTTTTTGTCAGAATGTTTTTGCTGCGATAAATACGAGATACCTAAACAAAGACTTACAATCTTCGAAACCAGTTGTAATCGTAGATATTGGTGTATTTGTTATTTTGACCGGTTTTAAAGCCCGTACGCTTTAACTCTCAATTCAACTTAAAAAAAGTGCGTGCGTACAAAGTACACATGTCAGAAGTAAAACTTCTTTGGCAAACTAATTTTTAAGTCTTGTTCATATTTATACAAATCCAAAACTTTAGATTTCCGAACTTAGGAGGGAGGGAAAAAGTAAGATATGTTAGTA